AAATAAAAATAAAATTATTGTTTTTTAATCTAAAAAATTTATTTACCAAATTTAAAAAAAAAAAAAAAAAAAAAAAAAAAAACAACTAAATTAAAAAGGAGAGAGAGGTTTTTTTTTCTCTAAGATGCAATCACCTTTACAACTACTATGGATAGGATTAGTGGACTCCGAATCTAGGTTTTATTTTTTACGGATACTTCATTTTGTGGCTTGATCAGCTGCAAGATTATGAGTCGAACAAAAATGGAATTTTAAGGGATAGACCTGAAGGTGCACCAAGAAGAAGGGCATATATTGCATCAACAACACTAAGAATTTCAGAAGAAAGGCTAAAGCTTTTCCATTTGAGATCTTTAATTGTCTAATGTAAAACAGCCGCCCTTAATGGTGTATAGATTCAATCGTTTTTCATTGTTGTATTGGACTAGAATGCAGATTCGTGTTTGATAAACACTGAGGAAAATATAACACCTCCACGCTCCATCGTATTGGAAATATTTTTTGGTGAATTAACTTTCTATTAGTTGCTTCCTGCATGTACATGAATTGATGGATACGCAACTAAAATTGGCTTCCTGCCAAAAAAAAATAAAAAAATAAAAATAAAAAAAAAAATAAAAAATAAAACATTTTAGGAAACGTTTATCGCATTTGGGAAAGGTGGACCAATAAATCTCTTTGTGGGAGATTTTTATTGTATTGTACGAAGAACAAGGCAAACTTATCACCATGGTTAGGGTACCCCATCGATATTCATCCACTTTCTTAGTTTTGGCTAATTTCAGTGAGTGTCGCAGCTGATTTTAAGCTTTACAGTATCGCAACCAGTGCGATTAGAGTGCCTTCGACATGCAGTGGATTACATAAATCCGGCTTATGTGTTAGCCTTAAGATGATGAGCAAGCTAAGCAAACAGTTTGGAGGAGATCTGACTCTTTTGGTAAATGCATATCTACATTCAGCCGTTGTTGGGTAAGATTACGTTCTATTCCTTCATCAATCGGAAGATTTGATTCGGGCCATGTTCTTTTAGGCTTTAATTTATTGGGAGATTAGAAATATTTTTGGTTGCGAAGTGAACTTGTTATAATTTTATGCTGCATTGTAGGTTTTGGCATCACTACATGATGGGATTTGTCTCTCCTTCCGAAAGCCAAGCTCCACCTACTGATAACACCGTCTACTAGAATGGTTTCTTGGTTGCTAAAGCGTGTATGTGAAATTAAAAACAATTAGGTAGTCTATGTCTAGAACTGGCGAAAACCAGAAAAAAAATCTGAAATTTAAATTTTGGATGTCTCAAGTTAGCTTCCTGCTAAGATGAATCTCATAGTAGGCATAGCATTACCCACACATAAATCCTTGAAATGAAGATAAGAGAAAATAAAATGAAAATACTGATTCAGCACCGAATTTTATGATTTCGTAAATCTTAATAAGCTTGAGGAAACTCAACTGAAAATATTTGAAAGAAGCTGAAGTTTCAACCATAACATGTAAATTGCATGTTTAGTTCGAAGGTTTAAAATAATGCAACCACTGGGATTACTAATAGAAGTTCATTGAAGTGGGCAAATTTATTATTTGCATTCCCTTGTTGAATCGCAGATGGAGCGCTTGAAGGCTTAGTTGCGGACGTTGGAATTGTTACCGTGCTTGCAGGTTTAATGTAAGTGGAACCACTTTCGATCTTAACAGGAATTGAAGTTGCTGTAGTTGCAACAGGTGGAGCGACTGACAGCTTTGCTACTGTAGATACTTTAGCAGTAGTGACAGTTGACACTACCACAGGTGTTGTAGCTGTAGCAGCTGCTAAAATTGACAATTTCGACGAAGTTGGCTTTACAACTGCTGGTACTAAAGTGGTCTTGGTGGCATATATGGTTGTGGTTTTGGTTGACGTACCACTGACAGTAGTGTGTGTGCTTACAGGCGTGCTGTATACGCTGGTACTTAAAGGACAGTAAGTTGTGAAAACTGTTTCTACGCCGCTAATTGTGGTGGTAGTAAGGTATTCACTTACCGGAACTGAAGACTCTGTGCATTTGTGGTCTGAGCATACTGTGGTAGTCAAGTGCAATGTTTTAAGACTCGTTGCAGTAACTGTGCTGGTAGTTTCCTTTGTGGCTGAGACAGATCCTGAACCTGGTGCTGATGTAGAACTTAAAACAGTGGAAGCGGCAACTGACGCTGAACTTGAAGCAACGGAGTCGACAACTGAGACTTTAAACTCTCCAGCAGGTCCCTCTACTGGGGTACCGGTTAAGCCTTCTAATTTGGTGATTAACTCCTGAGGGATGGTAGCTCTAGTTTCCAAATGAAATCTTTTTTGAATAGCAGCAGACGAATTTGAAGGTGGGCTGACAACCGCATGAACCTGGTAAAGAGAAATTCCAGTTGTTCCGTAAACTGCATTGGCTGCAATTGATAAAGTTCTTCCAGCGTTACTAATATCAGTAAAGTATTTAATAGCTTTTATAATGGTGTAATAGAATTCAATATCATAATCTTGATCTGAAGAGTATTCATTACTTACTGGTAAGCTATCGGCAATTGTGAATGGGCACACTCCTGTGTCTAAGTCAACGGTTGCAACGGTGACGCCGTTGATGTTGCAATCCACTAATTGTGCCTTTGATAAGCTTGTAAGAGATATTAAAGCGAATACAACAGCAGATTTAAGAAAAAGCATCGTTTAAGAATAAGAGCAAGCGTTTGGTGAGAGCAGAACTTTACTTGCAACAAGGAGAAGGAGAGCTAGAGTCGAACTATATATCCCATTTTCAATGGTAAGTGGCTGGTATTACTCTTTATTACCTTTTAATTAGAGGGATTCTTTACTGTTCTACAACTGAAATTGCTGCCCTCGAGTCCCAAAGAGTCAAAGACAACCCTTCGAGCATTAATTGCAAGCATTTTTTCAAATTAAAGCCTTGTGCTTTAGAACTAAATATGTGATACATGCTAATTAAGGAACGATTTTGTATGCTAATTTGCAGATATCGAATACTACACCCTGAATTACCATCCATTAGTAATATTCTAACGTTTGACTTTGGTTGTTTTGCAGCAATTGTAGGATGCGCAGCAGGATATTTTAATAGCGGTGTTTGGATGTAATGCGCGATAACAGTAGAGAGAGAAAAAAAAGTCTGAAATTGGATGATGAATAAGTGGAATGGACTATGTGGATGTTCAAAGGGGAACAACGGATCTCTGTTGTCTTTGTTTTCAAATGCTTTACTGCAACTTTATGTTGTTTATTGATTGAATATCCGCGTCTTTCAGTCTGTCCTTCAGTGCATTAACTGGTCTCAGCGGTGACGATGGCCCTCTGCAAGGAGAATGAGAGAATGAAACCTCGAATTTCATTTAACGCCTTCACCGCGCGTTGTGCATAATTTTCACCTTATCGCACTGCGGCGCAGTTATGTAAGCACATGAAACTAAAAAATATTAAAAAAATAAAAAGAAATAAAAGCCCTCGTAACAATTTAGAAGAAACCCGAAGAACGACAGGGTAAAAGTTGCAAGATGAAGCGGGTGGCCCGCCGTAAGCGCAGTACTGAAAGACTTGATAATTGGTAAAGGAAAAAGGCGCTGCAAATCGTGTTTAAGAATACCGACCCTTACCCTCACATGGAATCCTACCTATTGTAATGCGAGATTAAAGTTTATAGTAAAAGAAAGAATTGTCATATTATTCTTTCGTTCCTAGTAATGTCCTTCTCTGAGAATTGGCATTTGTAATGTCAACATATGGGAAAAGGAGGTGAAGGCGGGAATCCAATTACAGAAAGTGAAAACCGATGGTGGGTATTTTGGACAATTATTACCGATGGTTTTTTATTGCTCCTGCACATGTATGCAAGGTTTTTGTACATACACAATACAGTATCAAAAGGCACTTAAAATTTTATTCTTCGCTCACATTTCACATCTCGATTGTGGGAAGGTACTGAAAGTGGTATGGTACCTACATTCAAAAATAAATAAGCCATTGCGTTTCCTCACTAATTGAGAAAACAAAGAAAATAGTCTAATTATGAAGAATTCTTCAATTGGGCATGCGCAACGCAACATCTGTAGTTTGTAATTTTTGCATGTTATTTCCCCCGAATGCCTCCGTTCTTCGGTTTCTTTCGGTCTTCTCTCCAGTTATTTGTAATTAAACTTTCACCTTGCGTTTTAAAGTTTGATGTTTACTTCGTAAATCTTACAGTATTACAAATTAAAATTAAGTTGTACACAAAAACTGAATATGGAAGAGAACGTTTACTTTAGGATGAGCTAAATAACTAGCAGTAAGAAGAATATGACAAGACTTGAATTTGAAGATAGAATGTATTATGAAATACCCAAGTTAATAAGAATACGAACTGAAATTCAGCTATTCGTAAACATGTTGTCTATTCATATGCATGAACGTTACCATAATACCCATATCATATGTAACTTTTAAAATTCCAGCAATTACGAAAGATATCCACTGTTTATCCCAGCTTAAAAAGAATCCAGCAATGCTTGGACCCACAGTGTGACATAACGTTTGCACAACATGTACCCAACCAATTACCGATGTGCGTTCATTTGGAGGAACAATAGCAGTAAGGAATACTTGCTTAGGAGCCGCATCCATAGACTGTACACAGGAACGTAAGACTAAGACACCAAAGGTCAAGCTTAGATTCCTTGGGATGGGTAGGACCATAATTAATAGAGATGCAGGTAAATGTGTTATAACCATGGTAGCAATGGGTCCAATTCTTTTACATAGTGTAGAACCGAGTAAAGACATAAATCCAGCTATAAGTCCAGTGACAAAGAACATAGATCCAACTTCTGAAGGTTGAACTTTGAATTTGTGCAAAATGTAGTATATTTGCCATGATCCTCCTATAAAAGATGAAGCAAATGCATCTAGACCGAATAATAGTGATAATTTCAAAACAGTTATGTAAGACTTGTGTGAGAGTTTTGGAAATAAGTTAGTAGTTTTGATTTTATCAAGGACAGATTCAACTATGATCCTACTACCATGACTAATTCTGCTGTGCACGCTGACTCTACTGTGTGAACTGAGTAGCGAATATTGAGAAGTACGGTGCGAAAGTAAGTGAGTTTGTTCGTGGTCTTCATCCTGATCTTCACATTCAGCTTCCCCCTGACTTTGACCTTGGCCTTGACCTTCTACTTCTCCTTCATCTTCACCCAGATTGGTATCTTCATTCTGTGGCACATCTTCGGATCTACTTCTCTCGACAGTAATCTCTTCTTCTTCATCGTCTTCCGTGACCACCACGACATGCTTATATTTTTTCGTCTCGTTTTCCCATTCCACCGCGGGTGATAAAAGGACTGAAGATATGTACATAAGAACTGCAATTACAACATAGCTGACAAAAATGGTTCTATAACTGTCAATAACGCTAAGACCATATACTTGTTCTGCAAAATAAATAAGGTACCCTGCTGACAAGATTCCTAGGGAAGCGAAACATTTTGCTAAGAATCCATACCACGCATATATATCAGATCTTTTTTCATAAGGTACTAAAGAAGCCAATGATGACGATTCAATGGACTTGAAAGGTCCCACATCCCCACCGGGAGTCATAATCCCAATAAAGGATATGAATATCAATAGTCCATGTGTTTTAACCAATAAAAATGCCACACCGGTGAGCCCCATAACCACGGACGAAAATTTAAATATAGCTCTCCTTCCCACATTGTCTGCAATCACCAGAAGGAAGAAACTAGTGATAAGATCTCCAAGGTGTGTTATGGTCATGAACAACCCAACAAGCCTATCATCAAATTCCAACTCCTTCAAATATATAATAAGGATAAGCTGTACACCATGGAATGCAACCAATCTTATCATTCGCATAAAAATAATTAAATAAATATCTCTAGAACAGCTCATTAGTGAGTTAAATCCAAGCTCCTCACTAAATACCCCAGTCATTCTCCTTGCCCTTGTCCATAGACTTCCACCTTGATGTGCATCTTTGTTAAGATGGCTACTCAATAATTGTTCGGCATCCAAAGGCATACTGTTCTTACTTTGACCCTATCTCTCTACCTCTTCTTCGGCATTTGATCTCTTTATCTTCATCTGTTTTTTCTTTGCCGACTATACACTTAGATACTGTTGCAATTTTGCATGTACTCCATCACACGACCTTCCCAAAATGGTCTTGGCACATAATCAACATCTACGCAGTGGTAATTGGTTGCGAATGTGCGACCGTTTGAAAAATGAGTGCATAGCCGTGTACTACGGAAGGCCCCGCTCGTGTTTTTTGTATTTACAGATATGTACAGATTGCTACTTACAAGTAGTGATAGTAGTAGTAGTGGTGTTAACCTACTCTCTTATTGCCTAAGTGATCGCACCTTTCTATTTACAGATATGTACATTTGGACAGATTTCTATATACAAGTAGCAGCCTATTCTCTTACTCTGAGAACTACCTCATGCTCAATGTAGTCTAGTTTCACAAACTCAAAGTATCCATGTATAGTCTTCCCGGCGCCTAGCTCTTCTTCTTTAAAGTGCTTCAAGAACAACGGTGTCACTTCTATGGATGCTCTAATGTTGGCAAAATCAAGCATTTGAACTCTTATGAGCCCGTTTATGGGTCTTGACTGGATCATTAATTTGAATTTAATTGGCTCGATCTCATTTAACGACAATAAATGATCATATTGTTTTAAAAACACCCCCACCCAAAAGTTGAGGGAAAATCTTTGAGATTGTTTGTTTATAAGCTCACAGCTTTGCAAGTGACTTCCTATGTATGGAAGCTTAGAATCAAGGATTCTAGAAAGCACTTTACCATTTTGTTTAGACAACAAGAAATCTTCAAATTTCCAATGGTTTACCATATCTACAAATCTTCTCAATGGAGAGGTGACTGTTGCATAACCTTTCACTCCTAATGATTGATGTGGTTTAATCGGCAGCTCGGTTTGAAACCTGGCAGATGTCAAGAACGGTAATACTTTTGCCATGTTTTCAACATCCATATTTTGCTGCAATGCATGTTTGTCCTTTGAAATTCTACCTAGTTCTTCTGCGACAGAGTCATGTAAGTTCATATACTGTGATCTATAGATGATTGGTATCTTATGCTTCGAAGCGAAGTTCGATGCTGATAGGTTCCCACCAATCATACACTCTGAGACAAGAAGTTGTGACTTGGAGTCCGAACTCTGGTTGCCATTTTGGTCTATAGAGATCGTTGGCGCATTGTGACCGAAGAGACCAATTTCATAGCAGTCATCTTTGGCTTTGAAGTGTGTTTCATCAGAATTCTTCTTCGTATAGTTGACACTGACTGAAGAGCTATTACCTTGGAATGATATGGCATCTCCAAGCAAGACTCTGACATCTTTTAACACTTTTGAGATTCCATGTAGTTTGAATAGGTTTACATGGTTGATGTCTTTCAATGAATTTGACTTGAATGCCTCAATTTTCGACTCATCGTTTAATATCGAATTAACTTTAGCATAAGTGAAGCCCTGGGGAAAATTTGACGCAAGCCCAACTTTCACTGCAGAGGAACTGTCCATGTGCTTTTTGATTACTTCAAGAACATTGACATCAGAGTAATTGGCATCTATTTCCTTTTGCACAAGGTACGAATCTATCTGCGACTTAGGGAGCTCAAACTGAACCACGAATGTCCTAATTTTATTTCCCTGTGAGGCATCTCCCAAACCAGCCAAATTAGAGATAAATTTTGGAAGCATCATAGTTGGTCCTTCTGGCAAATACGTAGTAGTTCCCTTTCCAAAGGCTATATTGGCTAAACTGGAATTAGGTTTGATGTATGATGTCGGATTTGCTACATGAACGGAAATTAAATAGTTTTGATCAACTTCTTCAATAGAGATACCATCATCAATTTCATGAGCTGTCTCAGAATCAATGCAGTATATAGGTACATTCGTGAAATCTTGACGAATTGAATCCAATGGGTCAGTCTCATATAAACAATCTGGTATAAATTGCTCTGAATCGTTCTTTAATTCCTCATCTAATAGAAGATCAGAAGGTTCCAAAACTTTATTCGCCTGTTTCTTCTCCTTTAGTTCCCTTATATCATGTAATTCGTTTTCTCTACCAACGAGATGGTCATCCATGTACTGGTAAAACATGCTATTGTTATCAGAAATATTCAGAACTCCCTGGTGTGGTAATTGAAGCGAGTTTGACCAGTTGATTGGATTTTCCCAGATATTTTTTATAGCATCCTCCTTGTTTTTCATTACTCCTGACTTACTTTTCAATATTTGAAGAATTTCATAGCATCGAAGTTTCGAATAATCAAATGATGCTTCAGGTCTAGAATTCATTGGCAAATTTTGCGCCTTAGCGAGCTCTTCAACTTTTCTTACTATAGAAACTACTGTGGTGCCAGCTTCTGCATCATGACTGAAGTTTCCAGCAATATAGTCCTTCAACAAGTTGACAGTTTCAGAATAGTATTCTGGAACATCTTTAGGTTCTCCATTCATACAAGAGACAACATAATTGGCAAATTTTAAGGTTAAGCCCTCCGATTTCAATTTCTCTATTAAAAAACTTATATTACCAATATAGTGAACTGGTAATATGGTCAAACTAATCGGGGGGTTCGAAGGATTGGACTGATTCAAATTCCACATTCTACTTTGATGTCTCAATGCCAATATCACAGTTAAGTATGTCGAAATATTGTATTCTCCAATTTGCTCTCCAATAATTGGAATATCCTTTCCCAATTTGTTGCTATCTTCATCAATCAAATTATGCAGGCGGAGGTACCGTTGTACTTGATAAATTGTTCTCAAAGGGGACGGATAAAGGCTCATGTCAGACAGTTTCATAATCTCTTCATTGTATTTTGCGATTGTTTCACGTCCACCTGCTGCAAACTCCCTCGCCTGATCTAAGTCCAATTTAGTTACATATTCCAAAAGTTCAAATATGGATATTGTTACCGGTGAGTCGATTATTCCACCTGTTGCGTCGAATTGTAATAATCTATGCAAATATTCCAATTTCTTTGAAATCAAGTTCATATCATCAGAGATGCGGATACTTAAATCACGCAACGGCTCAGAATAAAGCTCTCGAGAAAACCACAGAACATGGTACGTCATTACGTCAGAATTTGTCAACAATTGTCCTGCGGCACTATTTACAATAAAATCATCTTCATCGTTGGAAGTTAGTTCTTCTTCGAGGTTATATTCCTGAGATGCTTGCTCGTTCAATAGTTGCCCTGCATTTACCTGTTCCTTGAATGTTTGTTCAGGCTTTACATATTTCTTGTGTTTGCTCTTCTTCTTCCCTATTCTCTCTGGTGGAAATTCATTCGGACGTGCCAATTCAGATCTCAGAAATTCAGCGTCTGGATATCCTATTGGTGCAAAATCTCTCCACTTCTTCTCTGGTTCAACTAGACATTGTAAAAACATGTCGTACTTCTTGGGAATGGCATGAGGGAACCTTAATTTGAACTTATCTCTACTTACAAATACTAATTCACCTTCTTTGTTGATGCAAGTGTAGTACGGAGAGCTAAGTTTCTCAGGAATACCAACTACAATATAAAATTCTGCTGTATCATCTGCTAAGGCAACCAAATCACCAATAGTTATTGGATCGCATGCAGAGTAAGGCGAAATAGTTGCATTCTTGAAGGAATCTTCCACCATTTCTCTCATAAACTTGTGTCTATGAGCCTTCAGGACCTTAGGGTAATGTGTTTTCATGGTCTGCAGAAAATTTTCTCTCCATTCTTTTTCAGGAAGGAATATCCTAAACTTTCTACGTTTCTTTAAGTTATCTACAATCTCATTGTAGATATCCGTATTCAGTCTTGATAAATCAAGTTCACGATTAGAGGGATCAGAAAATGTCGATTTACGGGACTTGCTCAATATCTCTTGCAATTTTTCCTGAACTTCAGTTTCCTCTTCCCCATCTATCTTGATAGTTTGCTTTCCATCATTTTCAGTGGCACCTGATCTACTTGCAAAGTCTTCTTTAACTGCTCTTAGCTCTGTAAGGAAGTTAGACCTGACAGAAGAATGATGTAAACTCTTCTTTGACGCTAAAGCTAGACACGTATATCTTCTAAGCATCTATATATCTACAGTTCTACAGTTGTAATGCCTAAGAACACAAACAACTAAAATGAAATCCATATTGGCACATTTAAGTGATGGGATGTGTTTATATGCAGGAGTATGTTTAAAAGGTGCTGCATCTCTTTTTTTTTCCATTTTAATTTGAAGATTAAATGGCTGCGAAAAGAAATCGCTAGCGAGGACGCTCTTGCCTTGGAGAGAGTTACAACTGCACTACAACATTCAATATTATTCATTTCGTTCATTTAGATACATTGTTTCGTATTACATTACCGACACAACAGAAGTACCATCTTGAAATCTAGTACGGAAAACCCTATTGGCATTAGTGAACATACCTTCCTTCAACGAAACAACAATAAACTGAGAGCCTTTAAATCTTGTTTTGATTAGGTGACCTATATTCTGAGTATGCGATAAATCAAGAGCAGCATCGACTTCATCCAAAATATACATTGGCGCAGGTTTGAATTGCAAAAGAGCCATAATCAATGATAATGCAATTAACGAACGCTGGCCTCCAGAAAGCTCTACTAAACTTTCTTTCCAAACTGGGCCGAGCTTAACCTTCACTTCTAAACCCTTGGTAACATCTTCTGTATCAACTGGGACCAATTTTGCAAAGGATCCTGGCAAAAGATCTGCAAAAATATTACCGAAATCAGTAGAAACCTTTTTGTAAGTCACGTCAAGTGTACTTCTCTTGTACCCATTCAATTTTTCGACAGTGTTTTCAATCTTAGATTTATCTTTTTCAATGGTCCTAATCATTTGTTTTAGCGATGCTTCCTTCTTCTCAACATTATCAATCATATTCATAATATTGGTATTGACTTTCCTTCTCATTCCTTGGAATCTTTCTTCTAAGATGTTAACTTGTTCGTGGCATTCTTCCAAGTTAATATTAGGATACTGCTTGATAATGCTATCGATGACGTTGGCATCAAGCACCCATTCGTGGTCTTGAATCAATTGGTCCAAATGGCTCTTCAAATTTTTCAGAATAGATGATGACTTCTCTATCTCGTGATTTAACTTTTGAATGGACAATTTGCAATCGCTTAAGGATTGATTTTTGCTTTGAATAACCGAAGTCAATTCATTGATTTCTTCACTGAGGCCTAAAAGATATGTCTTTTCATCATCAAGTTTAGCCTTCACATCTTGTAAAGAATCCTCTAACGTTTCAATGCTAGTAGAAAGTTTCTGGACATTACCTTGTAGCTCTTCAATTGTGCTTTCACATTGTTTACTATCTTCTTTCAAACTTGATAAGTCACTCTCTTGTTGCTCCGATTCCATTTGTGCAGATTGATACTTATCGAATTTTTCATTAATATCCTGTTCCTTTTCTTGTAATTGTTGGTACAATGATTTTAGTTCCAATTCCAATTTCTTTAACTTGGAACCTTTATCGGAGGTGAATTCTTTCATATCCTTTTCAATCGAGTCAACTTCATCTTGATACTGCGTACCATGTTCCTCTTCTTGCTTTATAGTTGCATGTAATGCCATTATTTCTTCCAGTGCATTTTGATTTCTCAGCAATATTTCTGAAGACGATGAATTCTCAATCTTTCTTTGTAAAAGATTCATCTCATGATTTGAAAGGTTAATTTCATTCTGTATCGACTTTGTCGCATTGTTCAACTTTTCCACGGATCTGATATCTTCTTGGATATTTGCTATTTCATTTTGAATAGAAGCAATTGAACCTTGAACCTTGTTATATTTTTGAATAGTCAACAAAATAGAAGATGAGACTTTTCTAGAACCTCCAGATAAATTACCCTCGGGGTCATAAATATCACCTTCCAAGGTAATCGATCTTGCTCTCACTTGAGGGTCAAAAGTGACTGTCTTTGCAGTTTCTGGATCTTGGCAAATTAATGTGTTACCAAAGATATACTCCATTGCCTTACTTAATTCTTGCTCATAGCCAATCAAGTTTAAAGCTAAGTCCACTTTACCTGGTCTTAAAGATTGAGCAATTGAGACTACTCGTTCATTCATTACTCTGGTAGAAATTTTATCTAAGGGAATAATTGTGACTCTTTTCCTTAATTGACCCCTTTCGAGCAATTGAGAAGCAGTGTCTGCGGTATCAACAACAACATTATAGAGCCTTCCACCAGCACAAACTTGAAGAGCCATAGACTTATTACTGTGCTCTTCCTGTAACTGGAAAAGCTGGGCTGCAACACCCTTAACTGATGACGCTTGGAAGTTGGAAGATGGTTTCGTGTAGTTGAAGTCAAGATTATTTCCCAATTCCCTTTGGAAGTGGTTTAGTTGGTTAGTTAGCTTATTAATGTCGCTTTTCAAGGAAGATTCTCTTTCCCTCAAAGAAGACAACCGTTTGGAATCAAAGCCTAAATCAATTAAATTCTGTTCCTTTTTAGAAATTTCAATTCTATACTTTTCAATTTCTTTGAGGACACCTGCATTCTCTCTTTGAGCTTGTTCCAATTTCGGTTTGTCATCTCTCAATTGTTGATTTAAATGGTTTATTTTCAATTTTGATTGCTCTATTGTCACTTGAGATTGAGTTAATTTGGTCTTGGCTACTTTCAACTGTGCAATATATCCTCCATCGGACGTATTTCCCTTTGATGAAACACCTGTAGAGAGAGTAGATAAAAGTTCCTCCTTCGAGGAATGAATTTGTTTCAATTCTGTCAATTCTGTTTTCCCTTGTGTATACTGCTTTTCATAAGAATTGTAAACATCGACGTTGTTCATAAGCATCGAGTTTAGATTCTCGATCTGTTTCACAGTTTTCGACAATTTTTTAGTTTCACTCTTCAAGTTATCATTAGCGATATCTCTCGAAGTCGTCAACCGTACGATTTCTTCAGTTAGTCTATTTTCTTCGGCCTCCAAGTCTTTCAATTTACCGTTTTTAGTCAACTGTTGTTCCTGTTGAGACTTAACCTGATCCAAGTCTGCCATCAAGTTAGTAATCTCGTTCGTTAGTTTTTCTGAAGTTTGGTTCAAGTTACTCATGATAGACTCTCTTTCATTTAGGGTATTCGAGTGTTCGTCGAATTTTCGAGAATAGTTTACATAATCGTGAGCCAGGATGACTCTAGTCAACTTCTCCAAGTCAGTTTGCGTTTGTTGGTACTCCAAGTAAGTTCTCTTATCATTTCTTAACTTTTCCAACTTTGGTTCTATTTCTTCCTGTAATAAATTTCGTATTTCTACTAACTTCGATTCCTTCTTATTCATAGTTCTCTGGGCCTTTTCCTTTCTGTCTTCGAAGGTCCTGGTTCCAGCCGCTTCTTCAATCAACGACAATATCTCCGAAGGTTTCATGTTCAACACCTTAGTGATCTTCCCCTGCATAATAAGGAAGTTGGGGTTGTTAATGTTCAACTGGACGGACTGAAACAAGTTTAAAACAGTCTGCTGTTGAGCCTTATGCCCATTAATAAGATATTTGGACGACCCACCAAGTATAATCTGTCTGGTTACACTGATCTTAGGGAAGTTTTCAAACCCTATAGGGGACTTCGCTATCTCGCTGTTGTCGAAGACGATGGTCACTGACGCCTTGGTGACACCAGCCTGCCCTCTTTTATAAATCAAATCTTGCAAGTTCGAAGCTCTAACTGTCGTCATTGACGCGATACCAAGTACAAAACAGATGGCATCTAAGATATTGGACTTTCCAGAACCGTTGAGACCTGTAATGGCGTTAAATTGCTGATCCCAGCCCGAAATGACTGTACGAGTAGCGTAGGATTTGAAACCATCGATAATGAGTTCTTCCACCTTCATCAGATCACAATACTACACTCTACAGTTACTGAAAGACCAACGTTTAGCTGCCTTCTACTCCATCTGATTTGATCTGTTTATGCAGCGCATGTAACCACAGAAGAACACAAAACCGCGCGTTGTTTGTTTAGGTTTTGGGTGGTAGACTTCCTGATCGGGTAGGATGTGATTGGGGAGCGACGGAGTGTACAGGACAAGAGCGATGCAGAACAAAATGGTTGCAGACCAGAAAGAATAGAGGTACCGAAGAGTCATCATTTAAAAGGACAAGAGTAGTACGAGGAAGAAGTGGCACTGGAGACAGTAGACAAGATAGCATAAGTGAATAACCAAGCTAGCTATCAAAGTATAAGGAGAATAAATTGAGAATAGATGCACCCCAGTTGCCATTTTGTCCCCTCATGTGTATTGTTCTCTGCTATGAATTGTACTGTCCAATACTTACTGGTAAGCACTAAAGTTCAGATAAAATAAATTGAGAAAGAAAACGAAGTAGTTAGTGCTGGAAATCTAACCCCCTCCATGTGTATTGCTTCAATGTGTCTTTTTTTATGTTCGATCCCAACTACATATTTGCAGCTTACATTTGAAGTTCTCACTGAAGTGCAATATGATTTAAAGAGCAAGAGGTGGACATGATGTGCATAATTAAAATTTAGGTACCAAAATTTAGGATAGTGAAGAGGATAGAAGAAGGAGGCAATGCCAGATATGTGGCCCTCTTCATGTAGAACTGTTCCGTGCTCTCACTGTCTGGTCACAACTACTCATCTCTGCCCCATCTAGTGATACTTTCTCGAGATTGCAACATTTATGCGAAATTACGTATACGCCTGTGGGAGCTGCAGCACTCAAAGAAAAAGCAGAGCCGTGAAGAGAAGAAGAGAAGAGGACGAGAGGAAGAGAAACAGGAACTACAAGAACAAGAACTGAAGACACGGTCTAGTAGCTAGCTCATTGTAATCTATAGGCAACGAACAATGTGAATGTAGTGAACGTAAGCTTCTTTTCATGGAATTGTCAGAATATATTGTTCTGGTAGCCATTTAAAGTTTCCACGCTCTTCCCACGCACGCCTACAAACTAGAGAGAACAAGTAACAATCAAGACAGAAACAGACAGAAGCGAGAAAAGCAAGAGAAGCAAGAGAATCAAGAGAACAGACAAAAACAACAGAACATAGAGAGACGGGAGAAACACAACAAAGAAGTTTAATTCACTATCCCACACCTCTCTATGACTCCATTGTTCGTCTCCCAATTAGGCTGCTGTACGTTTTCGCTCTACAAATTTTCCACGACTGTGGAGCACATTCTAAGACGAGTTGAATGCTGAATGCTCAATCCACATTCACACCACTAAACTAACCCTGCCTTCGGTGCCATACCCCATGTTTACGTCGACATTCCAAACACAAACCATTTTCTTGTTTGCCCATACCACGATCTCCATCTTCTTCCCATCTCCTTCTTCCCATTTCCTTTTCCACGGGTTTTTATTTTTCCTATCTCAGCTCTTCAATTTAAGCTTCTTTCCAAGACATGCACACTTCCAGTGTCAACTGAATTTTCTTGTGCCTAATTTTCTAGCGCCCCGTCCTCAGTGCCTGATTTAAGCTTCCTGCTCGTTTCAACGTTGAAATGATCCACGACCCGCTACAGGAAAAAATAAATAACAAAGAACAGGGCCCTGACTGACACGGTTAGTGTAATCAGGAAGAGACGCCAGAAGAGCAAAAAAATAAAAAAAGAATCGATTTGACTTTCTCTTTTTTTTTTTTTTTTTTTTTTTTTTTTGTTTCTTTTTTTTTTTTTTTTTTTTTTTGTTTTTGTTTTGAAAAACATTAAAAATGAGTATCTTATAAA